AAATGATCGCAACGACGGATTTTTCCATATTTTTTTGCACTTTTTGCGTTTTTGTGCATCAACCAGATTTTTAAAATTACTTAACCATTCTATCTTTAAAAAAATGCATAATCAACAGGCACAAAGAGAAATATAGCGCGTACAATATTGCCAAATCTTTACTGATTACCTATCATATACTTCACCGTTATCAGAAATTGTGTATTTTACATATCAATTTCTGGAAAACTAGATGCTCAACGATCTCGTAATTTTTTTTTATATTTCCAATTTATAATATTTCGAGCCTCTTCTCGCTTTTCATTAAAACCGTAAAAGTAATTTAGTTACTGAAATTAAAAATGTGATATCGAGAGTAGGAATGCAACGATAAACGGATAATATTGAAATGTCGATATATCGTGGGATGATATTAAAAGTTTATCAATAATAATTTTTTCTCCAATAAATTGTTACATCGATATCAGTTTCAACGATATTTTACAATTTGCAACTAGTACTGCTCAAATATTCCAAATGTATTTTTTATGTAGTCAGTCTATAATGTTCTGTTTAATTAATCTTAAATATAAATAGAGAAGTGCAACAGAGAACATTTGACAGAGAAAAGGCTACACATACTTGAACGGCTTGAAAGAAAACGCTAAATGTTTGAATTTTTCTGTTGACCACGTTATTGACTTTATGAAGATGTTCTTTTGAGAGACGATTCTTTATACTTTCATTTACATATTATATTGGACTCCGATTTAGCCGTATAGTTTTGCATAGATATTCTTAATAAAATTATCTAGTTTTCATCGTAGCCGATTTTTAAAATATTATTTTTTGACAAAATTATTAACATTCGAAGTCAAAAGTTCGTTTTTTCACCAAACATTTCTCCTTTTTTCGTTGACAAAAAAACTGTAATAGAAGTAAAAAAATCCTACGACAAAGACTAGATAATCTTACTAAGAAAATCTATGCAAAATTATCGCTAAATCAGTTCAAAATAATCCTAAAATATTGTGATTATATACCGATTAGCGACAAGCTTCATAAAAGCAGTATTAACAGCGTTACATGTCAACTTTTTATAATGGGCTTTATATAATATGTGAATCAAAGCATGAAGAATCATCCCTCAAAGGAACATCTTCACACAGAGAAAACAAACTCATTTCCTGCAACGGAATAGAGATCAGATGAAAACTCGATGACAAGAAATGAAAACTCGACGACAAGAAGTGATATCTCTGCTATCGCGATTGAGAATATTCGTGTGAACATTCAGCTGCATTAAAACTCTGTTGAGACATCTGAAAACAATTGACTGAGTAGAAATCTCCTACAGGAATCTGTCTGTTTCTACAACCGGATTTTCGTCTGGTCCTCAGACAATGAAAATTCAGTTACATTAACGGAATTATTTTTCCCGTGCATAAAGTCAATAATATAGTTAGAAAATTCAAGAGAAATTTTCGGAAAAATTCAAAAGTTGGGCATTTTTTGGCAGATGGTATTAGTGCTTTCTGATAAATTTCGGCCATCTTGGCATTAAAATTTCTCCGTATAGTAGACTGAGGCGAATTGGATTACAGAGAGGATCAATATAAACTTTCAGACAGTTGTCGTTAGTTTTTTGTTTCAAACGAGCTGTTTTATCGTGCCAGTTACTTCCGTGTACTCCCTCCGCACTCACTTAAAACAAAAAATTAACGATAAATGTCTCAAAGCTTATATTGATCCGACTCGCCTCGGTCTTACACTCCAGGATTCATTAAATACGTCGTTCTTTAGCGAGAGTTAGGCAATGACTAGGATTTTCTGTATAATACGTCTTAGAGGAAGAATCCTTTTACCTCATTAAAAAATTGTCGATGTAACGGTTTTCAAACAGAAGCTTGTCCGGTCACTTTCTTATTAGACAGACTGTAAATGTAAGTGCTAACTTTCACTTTAATTATTTTTGCTTCGATATGGTCAATCTTTCTTTAACTTTTCATCTGTGTAGATTCAATTACGCTGTTAAAAAATCCGAAAGGATTTCTAAGCAAATAAATTCACGGACCGACTGCCTTAATCGACGACGGCAACGGGAAAGGTTGCGCAGTTGCAGTTTCGCGTATCAGAAGTATACGCTCGTGAGAGTCAAAAGAAATCGGCGTCGCAGAATTGTTTTTCATTCACGGACGAGCGAATAATTAATTGCCTCGAGTTTCTCGGAAGCGCGCTTCCGCTTTTGCGAAAGAAGCGGTTCGCGCTTCTACCTTTTCGCTGCGATAGGGAAATCATGGCGGAAGAACTGAAACAATCAATTACTCGACGAATCCTAATGAGAAAGTTGTTTCTCTTCATGATAGAAATTTAATATGCCGCGCGCACTCAACTGTCCGGCCAAATTAAGTCTCCACGTTGTTTGCTTTAAGCGTGCGCGCGCGCCGCTTCTTTCCGAGAGGAGAGAGAGAGAGAGAGAGAGAAAGGAAGAGCGTTCCTCTTTCTTTCTCTCCCGCCGAGGAGTTTAATCGAATTGCTCGGAGGAGCGCATGAAGGGAAAAATCGAAGTCGTTTCCATCGCGCCGATCGATATCCGCGATTTCGCGCGACGCGTCGCCGCAAGTAGCGGGACCGAGCGGCCGAAGGGGGAGGTGAGGGATGCATTTTCCGATGAAACGCATCGAAAAATCGAACGAATTTACCGCGAAATGCAATGACACGAATACGTTAATTGGATACAAGTCGTCGATTGCTTTTTTTCCGCGTCGAGCTTTCGAGCGCAAATAAAAAGCGAGCGACAGGTCATTTTTGTATTTAATTGCTGGATCATTCCCTTATCTCACAGTGGCAAATTGGCGATAGGGGTTTGTCGGCGGTAAATTGGCTGCGTCCAATAGAGGATGTTGAACATAGCGCCAGCAGGAGGCGGGCGAGCGTGTACACCCACCGATACGCCGAAAGAGAGAGAGAGAGAGAGAGAGAATACGACGTGTATAACGTTGTTCTTTATTTTCGCTCTCTCCAACTTTTATTTTTTATTTTCTATTTTTTTTACCTCCATCGTAATCATTCGCGGCACTGGATCACGCCACCGTGTACGTGTGTGTGTGTGTGTATGCATTCATGTCGCGCATTAAACGCAAAATTGATCCGATTTTTATCATAAATATCGAGTTCTGTCGTCCGTGACGGTCGGCGAGCAGAGCCGTGACAAATTGACAAACCGATCAAGGAAGGACTATGTCGAAAACGTCGCTGAATCGCAATGAGATATTGCGACGAAATGTAGGTCTCCCTGTGTCGACTAAAGGAAGCCGTTCTCCGCCATCGAGTGCGGTGTATGTTATTTTCGCAGAATTCGAAGGATACTTTACGTAGGGGAGCGGGGAAAACGATACTTTATCGCCGTGTCGGACAGCTGACGAAAAATAAAATGGAGGAGCAGCCGGGAAAACACTTGGAGAATTAACGTCGTGGCACGTTACCGGAAGATAACCGCAATTCGCTGTTCGTGACAAATATATTATGTTTGCGCGCGCGTGTATGTGTGTGTGTGTGTGTGTGTACGCAGAACGCACAATACACGGTGGAACGAATCGACCATCGTGCGAATGCAAACTGTGGCAATTATTCGAACCGCAGCTGCGCGGAAACTTTCCCGTAACAGATCGCGCAACGATTAATAATCTATATTAATTACAGTAAAACGCAGATATGCAATTCGAAGACGATAAAATCTCCCGCCGCACCCCTCCCCGCCTCCGGCGCGCCTGTGTCTTCGACCGCTAATTATTCTCCGAGAATTACGCCAGCCGCGACAAACATTTTGCAACGGTCGTACAACAATAACAGCTTCTCGCCGTATTTCATGCGCGCGGATTCGCGCCGGATTGAAAATCGCCTGTCGCGTGTCCGCGACTCTCCCTCTTTCTCTCTCTCTCTCTCTCTCTCTCCCTTTCCTCTCTCTCAGCGACTGTTTTTACTTATTATTTATATCTCAGCAGAGAATAGGGAATTTGTAATGTACACGACGGGTATACATACAGGGTGGCCCAGTAACCGCGGTACAACCGGGAAGGGGATTTCTGTTTGAAGAAATAAATCGGAAGTGTAGGATAAAATGATTCATATGTGGCATTGTTTTCGAAAAAATCGACCGTATCGCGAATATAGAAAGTACATTGTATACAAACGACCGAGATCATCTCGACGATGTTTTAGTAAAGAAGAATTAGCTCCCACGGCTAAAAACTCCATATAATGTAAATGAAATTTAATCGCCAGATCTAGTTTTTAGCTGTGGCAGCTTATTTTTATGGCCATAGTCGTACACAGAAAAGAAGAATTGGTTTCTATAACAAAAAACTAGGTCTGGTAATTAAATTTCATACGGAGCTAGTTTTTAGTTGTGGGAGCTAATTCTTTTTTTCCACGTAAATGCACACGTAATCCGAGTCAAAATTTCAGTTCTACGTTTAAGTCCGCTTGGTTCCATATTAAGTCTTCAAATGGAGAAGACGGAAATAACTTCCCATCTGTAGCATCAAAGGAGCGCTAATAATGCTCCTTTGATACTAAAAAGAATTTAAACCTCCGGAGGGGGGATCTAAATTCCTACATTAAGTCTTCAAGTGGAGAAAAGGGAAATAATTTTTCACTTACAACATAAAACGGAATACAATAGAAGACCTCTGAAAACTTAATACTTAAGACTTAATACGTAATATAGAACCAAACACAGACTTAACACGCAACTGAAATTTCGACTCGGGGACGAAACCTCCGTACGAAAATCCCTGACATTTTTCATTCATTTTTCCAAGAGGAATCATTCTCTTCCCGGTCGCACCACGATTACCGGGTCACCCTGTGTACATTTTACCGCATGTCCCGAGCGAGCTGGCCGCGAGCGCGGCCCGCAACGCGAGACGAAAGAATCGTCGCGTAACAGCGGTATCGCATGCGACCGCTAGTCGCGTAATTGAATTGCAAATCGTAACAGGCGCATTTGTTACTTCCAGCATCGACGAAGACGGGCCGTGGAACGCGACGAAGGAGATCATAACGCCGCACAACGACACGTTCTACACCGTCGACAACCTGAGGCCATTTACGGTCTACAGCTTCCGAGTGGCGGCGATAAATGCCCTGGGTCGCAGCAAGCCCAGTCAAGCGTCCTACTATATGGTGACTCTGCGCGCAAGTAAGTCTCTCTCCGCGATTTTAATCTCTCTCTCTCCCACGGCCGCTTTTATCGGACGGCCGGGGAGCGATACCGACCGCGTGCGCTTTTACCGGGTCAACCACTCACCGCCTGTGACCGTATTCGACGAATTGTTACGGCCATCCCGCGCCCGAGATACCAGATGAGAGTAACATTACATAACCGTGCGCGGGTCTGTCGTTTACATCGAAAGGTACGTGAAACGCACAGATATGAACCTACTAATGCATCCTCTCTCCTTCTCTCTCTCTCTCTCCCCCTCTCTCCTACCACACACAGGTCCAATTTCTCACGGTAAAAATTTAATATGTCGACAATAAATTATTCCTCATCGTTTCAATGATACACGATATATAATGTTTGTGGCGACTGGATAATTGAAATACCGATTTTCCATCGGGTATTTATTAATATGGACGCACGGACGTTGAACAAAGCACGATACGTTTTCGTCCAAGCCGCGCTTTCGGTATTAAATATCGTTCATTCATCAAGACTCATTTACCGGGAGGATTTTTGTCCGAAGGTATCAACGATATTGTATCGTACGCGGGGAACTCGCAGAGAGATGGACGATACAGCCCGAATGTATCGACACATCGTGCCGATACGTATCTCGGGGATGAAAATATCGATATAGGAAATATATCGAACGTCCGGTATCAATATCGATACTTGAATTACATAAAAATATTAAATTAAAAGTAGAGAGCTGGCAAAGTTACTTTTGAATAATGTAACGTCGTTACCAAGTCGTTACTGAAAAAAGTAACTTATAATGGCAACGGCATTAGAAGTAACACTGCGTTATTTTCTATACTAACACTGATTAAAAGTATGCTGTTATATAAATTTAATTATGCGAATGGCATGTATTTATAATAATGTTTACATCATTATGCTGGTATTATTTTCTGAATAAAAAATATACATTTTAAATGAAATTTTTTTACTTATAAAATAAATGACATTTTTTTGTACATTACGACGTGTAATAATAATTTATAATTACGTTATAACTACTAATCTCAGGTCGCACCTCAACCTGAAGAAGAAAATTTTTAACGAGACAAATTTGTGAAGGCGCTAATGAAGATCAAGAATGAAAATCAGAATGAAAATCAAATATTTATAAATGCCAGCCGTTGAGATTGACAATAATAATGTAAAAAGAATAACTGATTTATGTCAGCACACGTCAATCTATTTCGCTTTTCGGTCATTAGTTTATCTGCTTTAGAAAATAGCCTTTCAGAAGGAACTGAAGTCGCAATTAACTTAAAAATTAATAAAGTTCATATGGGTCGAATCCATCCGCAAGAAGCATCTTGTAGATTTTCAAGTTTTTCGACTAAGCACTTTTATTCTCACAATAACTTAGAAAATATTTAAAAGTAAATAAAATATATCGCAAAATATGTAAAATACCTGAAATATAACACTTTACAAATGTGTTGGCATTAGAATACGGATCCGGTCGGATTCGACCAATCTTGCTGTCTGAGAGTTAACGACTGATACTTAATTACTAAAGCTTTCAGATGAGCCATCAAGGGACAGTCAAGTCGAGAAAATAATCGGCTTCATGTGCGGTCAACATAGGCGTATCGAAGTTCGATATTCAGAGGTCGCGTATTGATACGTGGTAATATCGAGCGGCAAAATATCGATACAAAATATCGAACTTCGATACTATATTGACCGCTCATGATGGCGATTACATTTCAAAAGTAAAATATACTAAATATAATCGATAATTAAAATATCAATATTTGAAGTGTATCGATACTATACCGTCCATCTCTAGAAGATCTCCAGAGCTCGCTTCTCGAAATGAAAGGCGTCGCGCGACGTTTTCCCCCACGAAGTCCTCCGAAAGCAGGTTGTAATAGCGAAGTTTCCAAACGGAAGCCAATATCGGCTTTAGGATATCCTCTCTTGTCGCGCTCATCTGCGTGTCAAGTCGATTCAATCGTCCAAATTACATCTACCCACTGCATCTCCCGCGGCTATCAAAACGAAGTTTGTCCCTCTCCGACCGCGATGACATCGAGGCGTCGTGCTAAATTAAACGGTCGACACCCTCCGGTCGTTAGCGCCGACGGTGGGCGGACAGGAGGCAGGAGGGGATTACAAAGCGTTTGATGCCGCGAGGAAGAAAGTGACGAACTTCGGCGGGGAGCGAAAATCCCGAGTGCTGCGAAGAGAAAGAAGGAGAACGCGAAGGCTGCGAGAGAGGGGGCGGTTAAGAGGCGACACGGCCAGTTCTTGGCATCCAGGGAGATGAGAAGAAGCCGTCCAGGGCGGCTAACTAAAGAGGCGCTAATTGCAGCCGGGAGAACGCAGGCAGGCTCAAGTCGAGCCTATTCTTTTTCTTCGCCTCCTAATTTCGCTCTCTCCTTTCCTCTCTCTCTCTCTCTCTCTCTTTCCTTTTCCAACACCCTCTCTTTTCTCCGTAGCCCTTTCCGTCGGACGACAACGTCGGCATTTCCGTCGTTCTCGTCCACGTCGTCCTCCTCCTTGTTGTCGTCGTTGTTGTCGACGTCGTTCTCTCGCGCGCGCGCGCGCGCACGTTATAAAATAGGTTGAGCGCGCGCGAGACGAGCCCTATAAATTCCGTGAGCGCACGCCGAGGGGATGGCTAGCAACGGCTGTGTGTATATACCTATATATACATATATATATATGTATATATATATATATATATGTACTCACGGACGACAAAGTTTGCGCGGAACCGAGGACAATCTCCTCCACGCCCGACACGCGCTCCCGCTGCCCTTTTCGACCCGACCCGGATTCCCGCGCGTCCCGATCGCAGGCCCAATTACCGCGCTGGCAGCGCGCGCGAAGGGCGGCCGACTCGCGGTCTAACGGGAATTAGGTGGCTCGTGGAATGTAACTATCGCCTGTGGAATCCCAGTTCATTTTTAATGGGGTGCGGCCGGCCGGTGGAATCGAGTGAACTGGATCCTCCGACTGTGCCGCGACTTCGTTCCCTCTCCGCTCTGCTCCCTCCCGCCGCGAACAGTCGGCGGTATCGTCAATTTTTAACATTTCGCACTCGCCGGTTCTTCGATCGTTCGTCGAGTAGACCCGTCAATCTTTATCAAGCTAATTGGCAGAATCGGTACGATAACGGCGCTAAATATGGCCGAGATCGAAGATTTTATAAAATCACCTGTATCGTCCCGATTGTGTTCTTTGTAATAACTCGATGAAACTCGTTTATTAAGCAGGGATCAGGGGAAAGGATGGCGAAGTGAATAAAATGACGATTTCCTAATTTGTCTGAGCTGAATAACGAACAACGAGTCGGTGCCTAACTCATTAGAGGCTTTTAAATGGTAATAAATATTATGTTGTACAGTTTAACTTCAATTTGTCAACGATAGTATAAGTAATATGATATGAAATGTAGTTTAGATGCACCTATACAAAATTTTGCAGTATTAAATCTTTATAAATAATTACACAATAATTCTACAAAACTGCTGTATGTAATTATTTTATAAATATATAGAAAAATTTATTTCTGATCATCATCTTATTCACGTATTAGGGAGATGACGAAATTGACACGTTTTCAAAACGTTTAAATGAAACAGAATTCTAATTTATTTCCAGTTCATGTAGATGATAGGTGAGGCTTTAACTACTTAGAAAAAAATTGATCATTATTTCTACATCACTCCGGAAATGAGGGAAAATCGACATCTTTAAGGTCGTCATCTTATTCTCTTATCTTCTATTTACTGGCGTAATATAGGCTCAGTTTCGATTTCTAGTAAACAGTACTAGATGCCAATACCGATTTAATATTGGTGAAATACTGGAATGAGCCGAATAAGTCAAGATTCGAAAGAAAGTACTGTGACCGTATCAATTCCCAATACTGCAAAAATATCAAAAATGATCGATTCACAGTACTGGAACAGTACCGATTCCTAATAATGGTTATTATTACTCTGTACAATTGTTAATATCACAACCACAATGAAAAGAAGAGTCAAAATATAGCCAGGGATACTTGTTCACACTCGCAAATGTCCATTTTTAATGTCATATAAAATGAAAGCACATCGAAGCAAAATCGGCTGGAATCCAACCCGGGACATCTTCTCTTGCCAGGCAGCTTCCGTTTTTACCACTCAGCTATTTAAGCCTTCACATTAGCGATATCTTCCGCTCTCCTATTTAAGACATTGGTGATCCTAACGTGAAATCCAATCCATATTTCAGTACCTAAATTGTTATCTCGCCAGTCACCAGTACTTAGTTTCGAATATATACGATTCCTTACACGGATCCATTCTACTCGCTTAGCGTATCGTTCTCATTTCGGGAACGTACGGCGAAAATTTGGGCTACGATATTGTCGTCCTGGTTATTCGGAACACGGGCACGATGTGCGGTGCCCGACTGCGCTGTTAAATATAAATATACGCGCTGTGCCGCGTGACGGCCGCGTTTTGCCGGTCTATCGTGAGACGGGAATAATTATCCGGTTATCGAGACGCGCCCGCATTGCGCGTGCATCATGCGGAAACGCGCGCACCAGTGTCAATAATTAATTTAAATAGTACCGAACGTCACCGGCCGCTGGCGGGGCCAGCTGGGAGAAAAATTCGGCCGTAATATCGCCGCGCCGCGTGGATCGCGTTCAATACGCGCGATTACACCTGCGTTCCGCGAGCGAGCGAGCGAGCACGCGCGCGCACGGTCGTCATTTTTGCAATTCTCCAGTCGCAATATCATTCGCGAGCCAACGGCAGAATTAGCATTTCGAGGCGTAACGTCCGCGATAAAATCCAGATAATTTCACGTTCAACGGATGGACGTTTCGCTTCTCTCTCTCTCTCTCTCTTTCTCTCGTGCGGATGCGAAGCCATCGAAACAATGGAAACCTCTCGCCAATCACCGGCTTGCCCGCATAGAAATTTCCCATAATCTTTCCCAAATACAGCAAAGATTCCTAT